CACAATGATCTTTTCTGAAAGGTCGTCATGAGAACCAGGGTCCTCTGGCAGAAGCTACAAGATCACGTCGCACAATCTGGGCAGAGTCGACGACACCAAAAAGATAGCGGCGACGGAGAGTCCGAATGCGAAGGAGGCGGCGGCGGGGACGGTGGTGGCGGAAAGGGGGGCGGGGGTGAGGGCGGCGAAGTTGGCGGCGGCGGCTGCTGGGCCGCTGCGGGCGGCGGCGGTTGCTGGGCCGCCACCGGCACCTCGTCCCCATCGCTTTCGTCGCTACTATCGTCGACGAGGTTGATCACATGCACGGGCCAAAGGCGTCCTCGGGTCGGTGGGGGAGGTGGTGGTGGGGACCGTGGCGGCGGTGAGGGCGGAGGCGGCGACGTGGGGGGGGTGGAGAGGGCGGAGGCGGAAGGGGCGGCGGTGGTGATGGCGGTGACGGCCAGGAGGGAGGGTCTGGAGGCGGAGGAGGGCGCGGCGAGGGGAGGGTGGTGGTGGAGAGCGCCTCCACAAGAGGTGCGGAAGTGTGATGCCGACCTCGGAAGCGATCTCGGGTAATCTCGGTCATTAATTATGCTATTTACGAACTCTCGGGATCTCGTCAATTTAGTCAACTTGTGGCGCAATGATGCCGCAGAGCATATCCACGAACTCCGTTCAATTGATTTTAGATAATTGAGATTAGCCGAGATTGGCCGATTTCGTGTTCGAGTCACCGTTCACAGTTGTGGCTGTGAATGGACCCTTCTGGTCGGCTGCTGCTTCCCGTACTCTTTCCCCTGGGCTGGTGTGAGGGGTGCTGTATTCTGGGAGGTGGCTCGAGGTGCGCTGTGAACCCGCCTCGGATCACCTCTCTAGGCGTGCCGGGTGCCGCCCAGAAGAGAGAGAGAGAGAGAGAGAGAGAGAGAGAGAGAGAGAGAGAGAGAGAGAGAGAGAGAGAGAGAGAGAGAGAGAGAGAGATTCTTGACGGTTGCCAGCATGCCAGGTGAGAACGAATTTTGTTTTCCTTGTGTGTGAGCCAGGAAAAGGACATACGGCCGCGTACCCTGCTCTATCTATCTATACAGAGCGGTGGATACAGAGATTCCATGGGACGCCGTTCTGGCCATCCCTTCGGAGAGAGCCACGCGTCGGCAACATGGGAGCATGTCCACCGCCACTTCGCGGTCGCAGCGCTGTTGTCGCCCTTAAACGCCTAATGAGTAATGTACCTCTGGCGGGCCAAAGATCGACACGTCCTTCGCATGTCGATTTCGACTTGACGGCGGCATGGAGGCATCACGTCTCCATGCGCCCGTCAAGTCGGAGCACGGAGCCACAGTCTGCGGCGACCACAGCAGGAGGTAAAGCCGTCATTAGAGCTTTTCAGAGTCAAGCGATTGCGCGAAATTCCACACTGGTGGATTTTGGTACGCACCGCACCCCCTACCCAAGCATTGTCATGTGAGAGACTTGTTCTTGTTTTCTATCTATCCGGACGGGATTGCGGCCCGCTTACCCCATCTGTTCTT